ACGCTGACTGACGCTGGAGGGTCACGCTGACTGACGCTGGAGGGTCACACTGACGCTGGAGGGTCACACTGACTGACGCTGGAGGGTCACACTGACTGACGCTGGAGGGTCACGCTGACTGACGCTGGAGGGCCACGCTGACTGACGCTGGAGGGCCACGCTGACTGTCGCTGGAGGGTCACGCTGACTGATGCTGGAGGGTCACACTGACGCTGGTGGGTCACGCTGACTGACGCTGGAGGGTCACGCTGACTGACGCTGGAGGGTCACGCTGACTGACGGTGGAGGGTCACGCTAACTGACGCTGGAGGGTCACGCTGACTGACGCTAGAGGGTCACACTGACGCTGCAGGGTCCCGCTGACTGACGCTGGAGGGTCACGCTGACTGACGCTGGAGGGTCACACTGACTGATGCTGGAGGGTCACGCTGAATGACGCTGGAGGACCACGCTGACGCTGGAGGGTCACACTGACTGACGCTGGAGGGTCACACTGACTGACGCTGGAGGGTCACGCTGACGCTGGAGGGTCACGCTGACTGACGCTGGAGGGTCACGCGGACTGGCGGTGGAGGGTCACACTGACTGACAATGGAAGGTCACACTGACTGACGCTGGATGGCCACACTGACGTTGGAGGGTCACACTGACGCTGGAGGGTCACACTGACTGACGCTGGAGGGTCACGCGGACTGACGCTGGAGGGTCACACTGACTGACAATGGAAGGTCACACTGACTGACGCTGGAGGGCCACACTGACATTGGAGGGTCACACTGACGCTGGAGGGTCACACTGACTGACGCTGGAGGGTCACGCTGACTGACGCTGGAGGGTCACACTGACTGATGCTGGAGGGTCACGCTGAGTGACGGTGGAGGGTCACACTGACGCTGGAGGGTCACACTGACGCTGTAGGATCACACTGACTGACGCTGGAGGGTCACACTGACTGACGCTGGAGGGTCACGCTGACTGACGCTGGAGTGTCACACTGACTGACGCTGGAGGGTCACACTGACTGACTCTGGAGGGTCACGCTGACTGACGCTGGAGGGTCACACTGACGCTGGAGGGTCACACTGACTGACGCTGGAGGGTCACGGTGACTGACGCTGGAGGGTCACACTGACGCTGGAAGGTCACACTGACTGACGCTGGAGGGTCACGCTGACTGACGCTGGAGGGTCACACTGACGCTGGAGGGTCACGCTGACTGACGCTGGAGGGTCACACTGACTGACGCTGGAGGGTCACACTGACGCTGGAGGGTCACACTGACTGACGCTGGAGGGTCACACTGACTGACGCTGGAGGGTCACACTGAACCTGGAGGGTCACACTGCATCCTCTTGCAGGGGACGTCGCTCCTGGGCGGGCAGTGTGGCCAGGATCAGGAGGTATGGGGCAGGAAAGGAGGGTGTGGATGGAGGGGCCGCTCCCTGGCGGACGCATGGTCCCGGGGGGGAGGAGTGCCACTCGAAGGAGAGGCGGGGCCGAGAGGAAGGTGCTGCGCGGGGAAGGGCAGCAGAGCAGGCGGGGCAAGGTGCATGGTGTCTCCTGCCAAAGCTGTCTCTGGCCCTGAGGTGAAGCCATTTCTCCGCTCACCGCACACGCCTTTCTTTCCTACAGCCCTCAAGTCGGGCCTCCGCTCCCCCAACCGGTCCTGGGCCTGAGCTCTGCGCCTGCGGCCCCGAGCCCTCTTGCTCAAGGCCAGCGCTCTACTCCTTGAGCCAGAACACTACTTCCGGCTTTTTCCATGATTAATTGGAGATAAACGTCTCCTGGGGCCAGGCATCGGCGGCGGCTCGCGCCTGTCATCCCAGCTACTCTGGAGGCTGAGATCTGAGGATCGCGGTTGACTTGCATGCCTGAGGCCCTGGGTTCGAATCTTCAGCACCACATAAGCAAAAAGAAAAAAGCCCGAAGTGGCGCTGTGACTCAAGTGGTAGAGCGCTAGCCTTGAGCTGAAGAGCTGAGGGACAGCGCCCAGGCCCAGAGTTCAGGCCCCTCGACCAACAACAACAACAACAACAAAAAAAAAAGTCTTAAGGACTTTCCTTAAAACCACCCCTGAGAATTATCTGGCTGGCTGAGCACTGGTAGGTCACACCTGTAACCCTACCTACCAACTCAGAAGGCTGAGATCTGAGGATCACGGTTCATAGCCATCCTGGGCCGGAAATTCTGTGAGACTTTTATCTCCAATGAACCAATAAAAAGCCAGAAGTGGAGCTGTAGTTCCAGTGGCAGTGTGCTAGACTTGAGCAAAAAAAAAACAAAAAAAAAACTCAGGGACAGTGCACAGGCTCTGAGTTCAAGCTGCAGGACTTACACAGGAAAACATAAAGAAAGAAGAGCTGTAACTTCAGCCGGGACCATCTCTGCCCATGGGTCATGCCTTTTGGAGTGCAGAACCCTCTCTGAAGCCTCCCATGGAGCCCTGGGGCTCCCGTGGAGCCCGGGTCCTCTCTGGAGGGGCCTCCCCACTCCTGCAGCTCTTCCTGGGCGAAGTTTATCCAACCCCACAGAAGACCATGCTAGGGTGTAAGGGTGCTAGCCCAGGCCCTTCTCAGTGAGGCTGCACACAGAAGTCATGACTGTGATGGCTGTCCTGCCCAGCCCGCCCACATGCTTGCTTGCACTCACACATTCTCTCTCTCTCACACACACACACACATATCACACACACACACCATCATTATGGCTGAATTCCTGTTGGTCTAAGTATTCTCATAGTTGGTTTTTTTTTGTTGTTGTTGTTGGTCGTGGGACTTGAACTCTGGGCCTGGGCGCTGTCCCTCAGCTCTTCAGCTCAAGGCGAGCGCTCTACCACTTGAGCCACAGCGCCACTTCCGGTTTTCTGAGTGTTTATTGGAAATAAGAGTCTCATGGACTTTCCTGCCTGGGCTGGCTTTGAACCGCGCTCCTCAGATCCCAGCTCCAGAGTAGCTGGGATGACCGGCGTCCTCTTCTTGCCAATGACCTTGTGCTGTTGTCCCAACTACACCCTCCCCCAGTCACTACATAGCCTCCTCCATCTTCTTGTCATACTGGCTTCCTCTGCTTCTGCCCAGCACCTTCTCTCCTCTCTGGACTGGACCCTTCCATTCTGGCTATCCAATGGTTCCCTAGGGGGACACAAAACCAGCCAAGGGTGAGGACAGGACCGTGGGGCCTGAGCAGGGTGCAGTGGGTGCTTTGGCGCTGAGTTCGGGAACACCACAGGGTGACTCCCCAGAGACGTTTCTGCAACATGGGTGGAGAGGGTTAAAACAGCAGCAGAGAGAGAGGGGGGACGGGGAGAGAGAGAATGAGAGACTGGGAGAGAGAGAGGGGGAGGAAGAGGGGGAGAGAGAGACAGAGAAAATGATGCCAGGAATGGATAAGGGACTGGGCAGAACAGCAAGTTGAAGCAAGAGAGCGGGAACGAGGCCTCCATGCAGAGTCCACTAGGAGGGCAAGCAGAGGCCGGCCGGAGCGCCCCCTGCTGGGCGCCCTGGGAGGTTCCTCTCCTGCAGCGAAGCCTGGTCAGCCCTCACTCTCCCTGGAGGCTCGAGAGGGCCTTGGGTGGACAAAGCTGAGGACAGTCCACTGTCCTTTCCCAGACTCTCCTGGCCGGGGGCTGTGGCCCCACGCAGAGGCCAGCGGCCACGGGAGCCGAGGAGGGAGGACCCAGATCGTATGCTGTCTGCGTGGAGGCCTGCGTGGACTGATGGCTAAGGCCCCGCATCCAGCTGCCCCTTCCCAGGGCGCCCTGCGGGAGGGAGGCTGTGGGTCCACCAGAGCAAGAGCAAGTCTGCCCCACAGTCCTCTTGGAGCAGACCCTGGCCACGGGCCACGGACCACGGGCATCTGCGCTCTGTATCTCTCCCTGCCAAGGGAGCTGGGGGCCCAAGAGGAAGATGGACAAAGGCAGGACCTGAACAGTGAGAGGAGAGAGGTTGGAAGAAGCAATGGGGAGATGAAATGAGCTGAAGGCGGTGACTGAGCCGTGAGAAGGGCTGGGACGAGCAAGGACGCTGTGGGAGACCCGGCCAGTGGGGAGGATGCAGGGAAGGGGAAGAAGGGGGGAGGGCAGTGGGGAGGGCAGAGCTGGGGGAGGGCAGAGCTGGGGAGGGCAGAGCTGGGGGAGGGCAGAGGGGAGGGCAGAGGTGAGGGCAGAGCTGGGGAGGGCAGAGCTGGGGGAGGGCAGAGCTGGGGAGGGCAGAGGGAAGGGCAGAGCTGGGGAGGGCAGAGCTGGGGAGGGCAGTGGGGAGGGCAGAGCTGGGGAGGGCAGAGCTGGGGGAGGGCAGAGCTGGGGAGGGCAGAGGGAAGGGCAGAGCTGGGGAGGGCAGAGCTGGGGGAGGGCAGAGCTGGGGAGGGCAGAGCTGGGGAGGGCAGAGCTGGGGAGGGCAGAGAGGGGAGGGCAGAGCTGGGGAGGGCAGAGCGGGGAGGGCAGAGCTGGGGAGGGCAGAGCTGGGGAGGGCAGAGCTGGGGAGGGCAGTGGGGAGGGCAGAGCGGGGAGGGCAGAGGGGAGGGCAGAGCTGGGGGAGGGCAGAGCTGGGGAGGGCAGAGCTGGGGGAGGGCAGAGCTGGGGAGGGCAGAGCTGGGGGAGGGCAGAGGTGAGGGCAGAGCTGGGGGAGGGCAGAGCTGGGGAGGGCAGAGCTGGGGGAGGGCAGAGCTGGGGAGGGCAGAGCTGGGGGAGGGCAGAGCTGGGGAGGGCAGAGCTGGGGGAGGGCAGAGCTGGGGAGGGCAGTGGGGAGGGCAGAGCTGGGGAGGGCAGTGGGGAGGGCAGAGCTGGGGAGGGAGGGCAGTGGGGAGGGTAGAGCTGGGGAGGGCAGAGCTGGGGAGGGCAGTGGGGAGGGCAGAGCTGGGGAGGGAGGGCAGTGGGGAGGGTAGAGCTGGGGAGGGCAGAGCTGGGGAGGGCAGTGGGGAGGGCAGAGCGGGGAGGCCCGCGCCGCCCCGCGGGTGATGGGGCCGCGGTCCAGATGCGCCCCCCCCCCAGCCCCGCTATCAAAATGCTAATCGGCCCCGCGCTCCGGCTGCGGCTCCGCGTCCCCCGGGAGCCGGGGCGAGGCCCGGACCGGGGCCGGCGGCTGCGGCGCCGCGATAAGGGGGCCGCCCGCCCCGCGGGACGGACGCCGGGCCCGCCGGGCACAAAGCGGGCGGCGCGGGCGGAGGGCGCGGGGCGCGGGCCGGGCGGGGGCGCGGGGCGGGGACAATGGCGGCGCCGGCCTCGCTGGGGACCGCAGCGCCCGCGCGCGGCCATTGTGCGGCCCGGGCCCCGCGCCCGCCATTGGCCGCCGGTCCTGACGTCACGCGGCTGCGAACGCCGGCGGGGCCGCGGCCGGGACGGAAGCCACCGCGGGCGCGGTCTGCGGAGCGGGGCCGGCGTCCGTCCCCCGCCCGCCCCGCGCCCGCCCCGCCTCGGGAGGCGCGGGGTCGGCCCGGGTGACCGCGGCCCCGGCACTGCGGCACGGGCGCACGCGCCGCGTCCCCGGGCCCAGCCCCCGCCGCCCGCGCCGCCCGGACCCCGAGGGTCCGCCCGCGTCCCCCCGCCGCGGGGATGCGTGGGCGCCGGGCCTGTTCCGCGTCCTGCCCGCGCGTCCGCCGAGGCCGCCGGCGCCGCCCCCCCCCCCCGCGGGCCGGGCCGGGGGAACCCCGCACGCCGAGGGGCGGCGGCCCGGGGACCCCTCCCGGGGGACGGCGGCCCCCCGCCCCGCCCCCCGCGCCCCCTCCCCCGCGCCCGGCCTTAAAAGCCGGCGGCTGAGCCGGGCCGCGGGCAGAGGCCGCCGCGGGCTCGCCAGGCCGGCCCGAGCCGTCCGAGCGCCGGCCCCGCCCCCGGACCCCCGCCCTCCCCGCGCCGCCCCTCCCTCCCTCGGCCCGCCCTCCCCGCGCACCCTCCCCCCGAGGACCCCCGCCCCCCGCCGCCGCCGCCGCCGCCGCCGCCGCCGCCGCCGCCGCCGCCGCGCTCTCGGGCTGCAGAACAATAAAGCGAGGCTCGCGGAGACCCCGGCCGAGGACCCCGGCGGGCGGCCCGGCCCCCGGCCCCGCGCGCGCCCGCCCGCGCCGGCCGAGCGTGCTCGGGCGCTGGCCGCGGTGCTGCCCGGGCCGGCGCTGGCCGCGGTGCTGAACCCGCCGCCGCCCGCCCGGCCCCGCGCCGCCGCCCCCGGGGGCATGGGGCGCCGCTGACTGAGGCTCCGCCGCGGCGGCGGGGGGGGGCGCGGGCGGGGGGCGGGGGCGCGGCCGGCCCCGCACCCATCCGCAGCCTCCGGGCCCGGGACGGAGCCGCCCCCCCTCCCCCGCTCCTCCCCCGCCTGTCCAGGGGCGGCACTGCGGGCTGGGGCGCCGGGACCAGAGCAGCGAGCAGCGGAGCGGGCCAGCGCCGCGCGGACGAGGACGCAGAGCCCGCGCGCCGACGCCGGGACGGAGCCGCGGGGCCGGCCGCCCGGAGCGTCCCCGAGCCGGCGCGGGCACCGGGCCGCCCCCGCCGCGCGCCGGAGGGTGACGGGGCCCCGCCGCGGCCGCAGCCCCCCCGAGCCCCGGCCCCGCAGGCCCCGCAGGCCCCGCAGGAACCATGCCCAGGTCCTTCCTGGTGAAGAAGGTCAAACTTGACACGTTCTCCTCGGCAGACCTCGACAGCTCGTACGGGCGCGCCCGCGGCGACCTGGGAGCGCGGCTGCACGAGAAAGGTGCGCTGGGGCGGGGGCCGGGGCCGGGCGCGGGGCTGCGGCGGGCGCCGGGGGCCGGAGATCGGGGCGGAGGGGCCGGGGCTGCGGCGGGCGCCGGGGATCGGGGCGGAGGGGCCGGGGCTGCGGCGGGCGCCGGGGCGGAGGGGCGGCGGGGACCGGGGGCCGGGGCTGCGGCGGGGGTCGGGGTTGGGGCCGGGCGGGCAGGATCCGGCCAGAGAGAAGCAGGCAGGCAGGAGGTTGAGACTGGAGCCAGGACCGCAGAGGGGGCGGGGGGGAGCGGAGCAGGCCAAACGCTGGCCAAGCCTGGGGGAGGCGGCTGGAGGAGAGGTGGGGAAGGAGACACCACCGACCCGCGCCCGGCTAGGGCCAGGACACACAGCCGGAGGGACACCTGCTGACACGACCAGCCGGCCCGCCGGCGCGTGCAGACCCGCACCCAGAGACCTGGGCCCAGCCGCCACCCTCTCCCTGTCCTTCCCTGCACCCCAGGGCCCTGATAGGAGTTCGCTGGGCGCTCTGCGGAGCCGCAGAGCTGGGTTCCAGCGGGGTGGCCCACCTGTCAGGGCCAAGGTGCCAGCAGTGTCTTCCCTGAAGTAGAGGAGGGGGGGAGAGAGGAGGGGGAGACGGAAAATGTGGGGAAAGCAAGCCCAGGGTGCCCAGGCATGGGCGGCTCTTTGTGTGAGGCCGCCCAAGTCCAATGACAACTGTTTAGCAAGAGTGCGAGGAGGCCCGGAGTGCCAGCAGTGGAGGTGGCAGAGCCAGTGTGACCTGCAGGAGCGTGAGCCTGTGTGGGCCCATGTGACTGCGTGTGGCCATGTGACTGTGCGTGTGTGTGACCCTGTGTGTGTGTGCCTGCCTGTGTGCCACTCCATGGGGCCATGTGACGCCAGGGCGCTGTGCACCATGTGACCGTGACCCCGCATGAGTGGGTGGGGGGTGCCAGGGTCTCTCGCTCTGCGGGAACCCCAGGCTGGCACTGACCGAGCCGGAGCCTGCCTCCTGAGGGGTGCGCATTGTGCGCTGGAGGCTGTGAGGCCATCTTGTGAGAATACCTGTAGTCACCAGCCTGAGCCATGCTGCCCTCCAGCCGCTCCTTCCTGCGGCTGCGGCCCTGGGCCGTGTCCTAGCGGGCTCCTGGCCACAGTTTCCCTGGTTGGCGGTGCTGGGGTTGGAGAAGGCCTCCGAGGGGCCTCTCCCTGGAAGAGGTGGGGCCCGAGGACACAGGCTGGCAGGGGTGCGGGGAGAAGGGTGATGAGCGGGGCTTAGGCTGAGGAGAGGGAGCGGGTGCGGAGAACGACGGAGAGATGGGAGAGGAGAGGAGAGGGAGGCGCCGGCGCGGGCCTGCGGGGCTGGTCAGCAGGCCCGGAGGGCGGAGGGGGCGGAGGGGGCCGGCGTGCGGGCGCAGGGCGCGCGCCGGCGGCGGCGGAGAGCCCGGACCGCGCGGAGGCCCCGTCCCGGCTTTGTGCGCGGCGGGGCTGCAGTGTGTTGCATAATCAGGGAAAACTGCTGAAGTGGGGAGAACCCGAGGGGGAGGGGCGGAGGAGGAAGCGCCGCCCCTCCCCCCTGACCTTGAGGTTGGGGGGGCGGCCGCGCCCGAGGACGCGCTCCCCCCGCGGGGCGGAGCCCGGGCTGCTCATCCATTCTTCTCCGCTCTCTCTTCCCGTCTTCCTTCCTCCTTCCCTCTTCCCCTCCCCGCCTTCTCCATCCCTCCCTGCGGTCCCTGCTCCATTCTTTGTCCTCCGCTTCCACTCTCTTTCCACCCGGGCCTCCCGTCTGTGTCCGTGCCCGCCCGTGTCCTGTGCTCGTCTTGTCCCCCGTCCTGCCCCCCTGCCCCATCCCGTGGTGTCCTGTCCCCCGGCCTGTCCCCTGCCCCCTGTCCTGTGCGTCTTGTCCCTGGTCCTGTGGGGTCTTGTCCCCTGTCCCCATCCTGGGTGCTTCTTGTCCTCCCCATCTCCGTCCTATGTGTCTTGTCCCCCACCCTGTCCCCATCCTGTCCACTATCCTATCCCTGTCCTTCCCGCGTCCTGTCTCCCGTCCTGCCCCCTGTCCTGTCCCCGTCCCCGGTCCTGTCCCCTGTCCTGCCCCCTGTTCTGTCCCCGTCCCCGGTCCTGTCCCCTGTCCTGCCCCCTGTCCTGTCCCCGTCCCCCGTCCTGTCCCCCGTCCTGTCCCCGTCCTGCCCCCTGTCCTGTCCCCGTCCCCGGTCCTGTCCCCTGTCCTGCCCCCTGTCCTGTCCCCGTCCCCCATCCTGTCCCCCGTCCTGTCCCCCGTCCCCCGTCCTGTCCCCTGTCCTGCCCCCTGTCCTGTCCCCGTCCTGCCCCCTGCCCCCCGTCCTGTCCCCGTCCTGCCCCCCGTCCCCCGTCCTGTCCCCGTCCTGCCCCCCGTCCCCCGTCCTGTCCCCGGTCCTGTCCCCTGTCCTGCCCCCTGTCCTGTCCCCCGTCCTGCCCCCTGTCCTGTCCCCCGTCCTGTCCCCTGTCCTGTCCCCGTCCTGCCCCCTGTCCTGGCCCCTGTCCTGCCCCCTGTCCTGGCCCCTGTCTTGTCCCCTGTCCTGTCCCCCTGTCCTGTCCCCCGTCCTGCCCCGTCTTGTCCCCCGTCCTGTCCCCCGTCCTGTCCCCTGTCCTGCCCCCTGTCCCCCGTCCTGTCCCCGTCCTGCCCCCTGTCCTGCCCCCTGTCTTGTCCCCTGTCCTGTCCCCGTCTTGCCTGTGTCCTGTCCCCGTCCTGCCCCCTGTCCCCCGTCCGTCCCCCCTCCCGCCGCCCCTTGTCCGCCTGGCCTGCAGGATACCTCAGCGACTACGTGGGTCCCGCGTCGGTCTACGATGGCGACGCAGACGCGGCCTTGCTCAAAGGGCCGTCCCCGGAGCCCATGTACGCGGCGGCGGTGCGCGGAGAGCTGGGTCCGGCGGCCGCGGGCTCGGCGCCGCCGCCCACCCCTCGCCCGGAGCTGGCCACCGCCGCGGGCGGCTACATCAACGGCGACGCGGCGGTCAGCGAGGGCTACGCGGCCGACGCCTTCTTCATCACCGACGGGCGCTCCCGCCGCAAGGCCGGCCAGGCCGGCTCGGCCGCCGCCCCCTCCGCCGCCGCGGCCGCGGCCCCCGACGGCGACGCCGGGGGCGGGGGCGGCGCGGGCGCGCGCGGCGCGGGGCCCGGGGGCCGGGGCGGCGCGCGCGCGGGGGCGGGCGGCGAGGCGCGTCCGGGCGCGGGCGCCGCGGGGGTCGGGGGCCGGCACGCGTGCGGCGAGTGCGGGAAGACGTACGCCACGTCGTCGAACCTGAGCCGCCACAAGCAGACGCACCGCAGCCTGGACAGCCAGCTGGCGCGGCGCTGCCCGACGTGCGGGAAGGTGTACGTGTCCATGCCGGCCATGGCCATGCACCTGCTCACGCACGACCTGCGCCACAAGTGCGGCGTGTGCGGCAAGGCCTTCTCGCGGCCCTGGCTGCTGCAGGGCCACATGCGCTCGCACACCGGCGAGAAGCCGTTCGGCTGCGCGCACTGCGGCAAGGCCTTCGCCGACCGCTCCAACCTGCGCGCGCACATGCAGACGCACTCGGCCTTCAAGCACTTCCAGTGCAAGCGCTGCAAGAAGAGCTTCGCGCTCAAGTCCTATCTCAACAAGCACTACGAGTCCGCCTGCTTCAAGGGCGGCGCGGCCGGCCCCGCGGCCCCCGCGCCGCCGCCGCTCAGCCCCGTGCAGGCCTAGGCCGCGGGCCCGCGCGGGCCGGGTCGGCTCTCAGCAATACGGGCGCTGGGGGGGGGGGGGCGGGAGGGCGGGCCCCGACCCGCCGCGCCCGCCGGGGGCCGCACCGGCCCCTTCAAGCAATAGGGTCCTGAGGGGAGACCCACCCCGAGCCCTCCCCTCTCCTCCAGGGTGCCCCAGGCTCTCTCCCAGCAATAGGGTCGACCAGACCCAGAACCGAACCTCATCTCTCAGTTGAGTCTCTGAAGACCGGGGTGAGGCGAGGTTAGGAGCGCCCTCCTCCTCCTCCCCCCCCTCGGCGCCCCCAGATCGCGTGGCAGAGACTCAGGTCTTCCCCACCCCGCCCCAGCCTTCCAGGGAGGCCTTTCCGCCCAGACGTCCAGGGAGCCCGGGGAGGGGCGCCAGGGCGAGCGGCGAGGCGGGCCGGGGAGGGGCCAGGACGGCGGCGCCCGCTCCCTCGGGGTCTTTCGGGGCCTCGGCACGGCCGCCCTCCTACCCTCGCCTCGCATCCTCTGCCAAATCCGAATTCTTCCAGCCCAGTTTCACGAATAATAACGACGCATATCGAATCGCATGGACTCCTCCGACCTCCTCCGACCCCGGCGCCCCGCCCCGGCGCCCCGCCCGCCCTCACACCCCGGCCTGCGGGGTCGGAGGACGGCGCGCCCGCCCCCACCTCTGCGTTCACTTTGCGGGTAAAGCCCCCCGGGGGTGCGGACGCGCCGGGGTTCCCTCCTTCTGTATTTATACGTTTTATTTTTGAACGGATTGCACTCGGGTCAAGGGAGGGCCCCCGGACCTCTCCGTCCTTCCCGCTGCAAGCCTGGCCGCGCCCGGGCCGTGCGGGACGGCTCCCTCCGGCCCCGAGCCCCGCCCCGCCCCGCCCCGGCCCCGCCCCCGAGGCGCAGGCCCCGCCCCCACTCGGTTGCCAACTTTTGCCCGTCTATGCCAAAGCCTCGGCGGCAACCCCGCCCCCAGGGCCCGCCCCACTGGCCGCCGCCGTCGTGACGTCACTGCATGCAGCCCCACCCCCTCCCCGACCCTCCCCGGGGCTGCCCGCTCCCTTCCCTTAGTTAGTCCGAAGCCGACTATAGAGCAATAATGCGCACTGCATGCGAA